TCTTTCCCTTTGTGTTCGTCATTTTGGTTAATTACTGGAAGATGGCGGTTCTGGCCAAAAGGCCTAGTGCAATATTTCTTACATATAATGTTAAGCTTATGTATCTTTGTAGATGGCAGAAATGAGTTCGTTAAAATTAATTACAAATAAATTCAAAGCTAAGCCAGATTAAGTTCTAATATTTAATTGATCTGGAGGTAACTTAGAGTTACATTTTCTATTCAAAAGAGGGCAAAAAAATCCTTTCAATGATGTCATTCTCAACACAGTACAGGCCCATAAGCTTTCACCAACTCACCACATCATCAGAAGGAGTGCTGTTGGGTAAAATGTCCACCTGAATGGATACAGTGTCCACAATACTTTTTCTTCTAGAAAGTCGATCTTCATCTAAAATAAAAAGTGTTCCCCCTCATTATTTGTAAGTTAGAAACATTATGTACATTTTCATTTATAAACTCTATTTATTTTGGATTTCAAAAATTTACAAAAAGTCAAGAGTAACTGTCTTTTTGGCTCATTCTAAATAAATAAAGCAGTGACTGTTAAGTTTCCTGAAGCAGATTAAAATATAAAACTGACAGGGTGAACTGAAATAAGGCTAACAAGGGTTTTTTTTTGTTTATTCACCTGCTTTGTTTTTGTTTGTTTGTTTGTTTGTTTTGTTTTGTTTTAAGGATAAAGGGGGCATCTATAACAGCAATATCAACAATCTAACAGTGTAATAACCATGCCAGCACAACATTAAAAGAAGGGCATTGTCCAAATGGAATATACTTGGCCTACCTGAAAACTCGGAACAGTGCCCTTTTATCAACATTTCCAATGCTGTATTAATCATTCCATTTTGACATGTTCTAAACCAAATTCTGACAACTCTAACAAGTCATCTTTCTTTGACATTTCCCCTTTTTATTTTTCAAGAATGCCCCCATTCAAAATTCTTCATCTCTTCTTACATAAACTCTTAGGCCAGCTTTCTAACTCATCTTCGAATACACTTTTCTATACTGCCAGCAGAGTTGTTTTCTAAAATTAATCGTTTTATGTCCTAGTTATGATGTTCAAACAAATGTAGTCCTCTAATGCAGAGCTTCCCAAGCATTTTCCCATCACTGTACACCTATGAAGTTATGATACACGTACAGCGCACAGAAATAAATGGAAGAGGATCCTCATGCCGCAGGCTCTGACTGTATCAGCCCTGGCTCAGCCACAGAAGAGACAGGAAAACAGTATCCAGGCACACCTATCACGTTCCCAACAGTGGGGAGGCTCACTTCTAGAACCGTAGTCTAATAGCAGAATCACCCAGTAATCTGGAAGAGTCCATTCTTCTAATTCCATTTTGTGTATATGGTGATTTTTACGTTATTGAAGAGGTAAAGAGTGAAGAAGTAAAAGAAACCATCAAGAAATTTACTACTGCTCTTCTATACCACAGCAGCCTTCCAGAAGAACAATCAATGCTGTCAGTACAACACTGCAGCGTGCTCCTTTTCTGGGCACATGTGAGCACTGCACTTCCTGTCCTCTCCGTGCTGAAGGGCTTTGCCATTAGTCCCGGCAGCTCCTGAGAGCAGCTGTTGCATCAGCTCGGACTCCAGAATAGGGATTACATAATGTGACAATAAGTACAGCTTTGACGTTTTAAACTACTAACTTGGGATCATTTGTTACTATAATACAACCTAGCCATTGTGTCTTAACTACGGACTTTTTGGGGCAGATAATTCCTGTTTTGAGTGGCTGACCAACATACCAGGGCATGTGTGAGCAGCATCCTTAGTGTTTACCCACTAGATACCAGCAGGCCTAGTCCACCCTTCTTTGCCCCAGTTGTGTAACAAAAAATGTCTCTAGGATTGACAAATGTTCCCCCAAACAGGAAGTCACCCTCAGCAGGGAATTTCTGACTCGGTCCACCCTGATGACAGACCTTTCTGTAATTGTCCCAGTATGCTACTCCTATGGTTAAGCCCTTTCCAACACTAACCACATCACTTCCCAAGCCTCCTAAATTATGAAGGCATTCTGGGCTCTCCAGTCAGGTCTTACAATTAATTAGTACCTTCAAATGCTCCCTAATTAATCTAGTGTTCAAGTCAAATATGACTATTTTCTAATTCTCTAAGCATGCTCTAGCGCACTTGCCTTCTGAGCTTTTATATGAACAGAAATTCCCGCTAGGAACACTTCATTATCTGTCTTTCTTTAATCTTCCCCACTCTAAAGCTTCTTATTCTTGAAGGCCCAATCAAAGCATATCGTTCCCTTACAGTATCAAACAGAATTCTAAGAATTTCTACCTCTTCTTTCTTCTGAGCTATAAAATTTACTATTACTTGCGACTTAACTTGCCTCAGTCACCCTTCAGTCATCTACTGGGTTACATACTACAGTCAGGTGAACTATGTCTTTCCTCCCGTCCTCATAAACCATTCAGGACACAATTAGGGTTTTGCATCTACCATCCAAGAGTCACTGGGATCTACTGCATGAAGTCTGGAGACACACCATCAACACAGACCCCACCATGACAAGTGACTACAGCTGGTTTTGCTCAAGTTCCCAGGCTGAGAATATTTTACATTCTACATGTGGCTACTGCTGAGTTAACCTAGACCGTGCACCCTCCTGTTTGCAATAAACTACGAAACGTGATGGCATCAATGGAGCTACTCCAGTATGGTGTGTGGTCATCTCCACTGACTTCCCTTTAGCTGTAAGCAGGTCAACTTTTCAGGTCTCACCAGAACTCAAAACAGGAATAAACAATTGCCTGGTTCTCACAAAGGACCCCATAGGAGATTTTCTAGGTTAATTTACAAAGGCTAAATAGATTTCAGAAAAGAGTCAACTTGAAGCCCAAGATAAAAATAGAAAAGAGAAGTTTGAGGGCAGGAGATGAAGCATGGGAAATCAGAGAACAGAAAGGAAGTACAGTGGGCAGAACTTTATGAAAGAACGAATAGAAATGCTAAAAAAATGAAAATTCAATGGAAACTCTACTCGTACATTCTCAGACCTTTTTCTTCTGACTTTTATAATCACCTGTTCAAAGGCATTTGCAGAAACATTCAGGTACAAGTCCAGTCAGTCTATTTTGTACGTCTGCAGGAAAGTCAGGTTTCTAAAATGAAGCTCACAGAAGACAATGCCCGTTCTCATGGGCTCACCAGGTCTGTTCCTCTGTGGACTAGAGTCCTGGTATTTCTAGAGAACTGCCATGTTACCACCTTAGATGTCACAAACGGACCCATGGAAAGACCCTTGCTTCTCTTTCTCAAGCTGGGTTGGAAGAGTCCCAAACACTACCTACCTTGCTCTTTCTGTTTTCCCATCCCTCATACCTCTTTTCTTTCTGTGTTTGTTCACAATAGCAGTGATTGTGTCTTTTTGTGTTTAATTATGCACAAGGACCTGAATATTAGAAGCAGTACTTCTAAAAAAATAGGCCAGAATTAGAGCTATGCCTAAATTCTTTCAGTGACGCTTTGCTGCCACATGCTGTATCTGTATATAATGTGTGTAATATTCAGATGGCCAAAGAACAGAAACATACTCTGAATGCATGTATGGCACTGAACTCAATTAACTTCAATACAAATGTATGTGGCCACATAAAGTATAAGTTACAATAACTGATGTATTATATCTAGTAAATTAAAAACATACTTGGATTACTATACCACCCAGGTTCAGTTAAAAAGTTATCCGGGACTGGGACCCAGCAGTTAGCGTAATGGCTATGTCGCTGGATTCCCACATAGTCGACCGCGGTTCGCATCCTGGACCCGGTGGCTTAGAACTCACTCCAGGCGCGTGTGTGTGCGTGTGTGCGCAAGATCCTGAGAGGAGAATGGAGGAGAAGGGATTGTGGCGTGGCCATCTCCCCTGGGGGGTAATTTCTCACTTTCTGTCTCTCTGTCTCTCTCTGTCTGTCTGGCAAACGCATGCGCCCTATAGCAAAAACCTCTCAGAAAAAAAAAAAGTTATCCAGGACACAGTAAAATGTCAAAGCAAAAATTTTAAAATGTCATAATATAATGTGGGTATTATTCATACAAATATATTTTTGGTTTTATATAAGCATAAACAATTTCATCTAGAATTAATTATACTTACAGAAAACAAATAAACACAAGAAACAGACAAACTCATTTTGGCTCCCTGCTGCCAGGTCTCAACCCACCCACTGGAACACTGGTCTCAGCAGGCTTCTTCTCCTGGGTGCATCCCCAGCTCCTGGGGTTATCTATGGATCTTGCAACACTTCATCCATCCCCTGCGCTTTCTGCTGCTGAGGCTCAACCCAACCAACCAGACAGTTGGGCCTGGTCTCGGCAGGCCTCTACTGAATCTATGTCGATAAATAGGAAAAAGTGAAAACTATATCAGATGACCAAAAACCAGTGCAGATTTTGAAGAACATGACAAAACAAGAGGATAACTCTCCCCCAGGTGAGTGCAGTAGCCCCTCACCAACAATGGACATCACAAAAGAATTTACAGAAATGCCAGAAAAAAAATTCCAAACATTCACAGTGACAAACTCAATGACATGCAAGAGAAAATGATCAATTCCAAGAAATGAGAAAATCAATCCAGGATTTGAGACAGAGATAGACAACCTGAATAAAACAAACAAACAAACAAACAACTTCTGAAAATGAAGAATACAAGACAAGAAATTAAAATGTCCCTAGAAAGCAGTAACAGCAGACTGGGCCATGCAGAAGAAAGAATTTCTGATTCTAAAGACAAAGTCTCCAACATAGATCAAACCACCAAAAAGAATGAAAAAAGAAAATGAAGATAACATATGGCAAATTCTAGATCCCATGAAATGCCCATATCTGTATAATGGGTATTCCAGAAGGTGGAAAAGCTGCTAAAGCCATGGAAAACCTCTTTCATGAAACCCTATCTGAAAATTTTCCAAAACTAGAGAAACATGGAGAGATTCAGACCCAAGAAATAAAAAGAACTCCAAATAGAATCTACGTAAACATATCCTTCTGCTAGCACATTATAGCCAAATTGGTAAACATCAAAGACAAAAACAATATTCTAAAAATAGCCAAGAAGGAAATGTCAAGGGGCCAGCAAGTGGCACGGTGGTTAAGAGTGCTGGACTCCCACATGGCTGACTACTGTTCAAGTCCTGGAACTGGTGGCTTGCTTTCTCACCTTCTTTCTCTATCACTCTCCATCTCTCTCGGGTCAAATTAAAAATAAATAAACAATAAAGATAAAACATTTTTTAAAAAAGAAAGAGACATCAATATACTTATAAATGTTATCCCATTAGGCTAACATCAGACCTCTCAACTGACACAATGTAGGCAAGGAAAGAATGGGAAGACATATTTAAAGCATTAAAAGAAAAACAATTTCAACCAAGAATACTATACCTGGCAAGAATATCTTTCAAATGGGAAGAAAAGATATAAACAGTCTCTGATAAACAAAACCTGAAAGAAATCACCAACGCTAGACCAGCTCTTCAAGAAATACTGAAAAAGTGCTATCCCAGGAAAACAGACACAGACAGAAATAAAAGAACATAAAACCACCAAGAAAATGGCTAACAAAGGACAGGAATAAGTCCACAAATACCTATAATGACACTGAATGTTAATATATTAAATTCTCCTACTAAAAGACACAGACTGGCTAAATGGATTAAAGAAAAAGCCATCTATATGCTACTTATAAGAAACATACTTGATAAAGATATACATAGACTGAATAGACTGAAAGTGAAGGGCTGGAAAAAGATATTCCATGTAAATTGGAATCAAAAAAAGGCTGGAGCTGTGATACTGATTTCAGATGAAATAGGCTTCAAGACAAAAGATGTAAGAAGAAACAAAGAAGGACATTGTATAGTACTAAAGGACTTGTGCACCAAGAAGATACAGCACTTTTAAATATCTACGTACCCAACACTGGAGCACCCAAATATGTGAAAGGGAGACTGTTAGATCTAAAGTAAGATAGACTGTAACACAGTAATTACTGGGAATCTCAACACCCGATTGTCTCCTCTGGATAGATCATCTAGACCAACAATCAATCAATCAATCAATCAATCAATCAATAAAATAAAGAGATACAAGATCTAACTGATACCATAAATAAAATGGACTTGACAGACAGCTACAGAAAAGTTCACCAATAACCACAAAATAGACATTTTTCTCACCTCTACATAGAACATTTTCAAAGACTGACCACATGATAGGACACAAAACGAAGCTTTACAAATTCAAATGCACAGAAACTACATCCAGAATCTTTTCTGATCACAATGGAAATAAACTTGAAATAACTACAGAAAGAGCCCTTGAAAATACACAAACATGTGGAAACTAAAGAACATATTCCTGAATGACTTTACAACTACTGAAGAAATGAAGTCTGAAATCAAAAGGTTCATAAAAACTAATGATAATGAACAAACAAGTATTTATAACCTATGGGACACAGTAAAAACACCCATAAGAGGGACAATTAGCAATTAGTGCCTATAAGAAAAAAAAGAGAAAGGTGGCAAATAAACAACCTAATGATACAACTCAGAGAACTGGAAAAACAGTAACAAAAAATGCCAGGAGAAAAGAAAGATTAATGATTTGAGCAGAAATAAATGAAATAGAGAATAAAAGGACTAAACAAAAAATAAATAAAATCAAAAGCTGGTTCTTTGAGAGGATAAACAAAATTGATAAAATACCAAAATATCATTAGCTGGATTAATCAAGAAGAACGGAAAAAGGAACCAGATAAATCAAATCATCAAGGAAATAGGCTATATTACAACGGACATAACAGAAACACAAAACACTGTCAGAGAATACTATGAACAATTACATGCCAACATACAAGAAAACCTAGACGAGATGAACAAACTTCTGGATCTGTATAACTTACCAAGACTGAACCAGGAAGAAATAGAAAGCCTGAATAGATCCATAGGCATTCAATAAAATACAACATCCCTTCAAGATTAAGACTCTCAGCAAAATTGGCAGGCATACAAGGGACATTTCTCAACACAATAAAAGCCATCTATGACAAACCCATAGTGAAACATCCTGAATGGGGAAAAGCTGAAAGCTTTCTCACTAAAAATTGGAACAAAAGGCTGCCCACTTTCTCCACTTCTTTTCAATATAGTACTAGAAGTCCTGGTAATCAGACAATGTAATCAGACAACAGAGTCAAAAGGCATTCAAATAGGAAAAGAAGTGAGGTTATCTTTACTTACAGATATGATTATATACATAGACAATCAAAAGAATCCACACACACATACAAATTCCTTTAAACAAAGGAAACACGATTTCCCTCACCAAACTAAGGATTAAATTAAAAAGGAATACAAAATGCTGTCAGAGTTTGGGACATCAGTAGCTACTAAGTGAGATGATGATGGGTATTACCCAACACACAAGAAGCTCAACATATTTTTCCTCTTTCTTTTGATATATTATCTTAAATCTTCAATTTCTGAAATAAACTTTTGATGATTATACAGCAAAAGGAAATTAAATAACTAATTTATTAGCATACAAAATTCCTCTAACTCCTTCTGCATTAAGACAGGATACACATCCCATAGGCTGGTTCTAAACTATCAAAGGCTTTATAAATCAGAAAAACCGTATGCATGCTTAGGAATTGCTACGCAGTTATATAACGAAGAATATACTGAAAAAGTGACAATTCTTCCAGTCAATGACAGAGAAGCATTATGAGTGAGAATTCACCTTTCATGGGGATGAGAGGAAGTCACAAAGAATAAACCATCTACTTTAAAAAGAAAAAAAAAAAGTACCAGAGTTTTCATCAAGAATGTTAAGAGTTAAAGGAACAGAGTGAAAGGAAATGACAAAGGGGTGAAATAAACTATAGTGACAGGGAAGGCAGAGCAACTAAATGACTCTATAGCTACATAAAATATATGGGCTGTTGGCTCCATTTTCTAAAAGGCACATTTTATGACACTATTTTCCTAGAGGACCGGTGAGGGAAAGGGCAGGCCAAATTGACAATTAGATTTACCTTTGTACTTGTGCCTGGGTTTATGAGGTTTTTTGCCTGAAGGAAAGAGAGCTAAATCCAAATTATAAGAATGAAATATTTTTAAAATCTTTTTCTTTAAAAAATTAATTATAAAACTCTAATGCTTTATTCTTAGTATTATTTTATCCCCAAGGAATCCATGAGGAACTGCTTTTTTTCAGTAAGAAATTTAACAGAAAATGCAGGACCATTAACATCCCAGACAAATATGAACAACTACTATTATAATAAATGCATATGTTTTATAACCACATTATTTAAAAAGACAGGTATTTAGAAAACTGAGTGACTTTAGATGACTAATCCAGTAAATTACTAAAGCAAATGGTTTTTCACAGAACAGAATTATCTACCACACCTAACACTTATACAATCATTAAATGAAAGTGAGAGTAAAAGGCAGGATTTTATTTTAGTTTTTAAAAAATTGAATTCAAGACACCAGACAGTTCAATTATCTTGGGCAATGGAAAGAAGAAAATACGTAGTTTACAGAGGAAGAAATACTCTTTAAAAGTTTGAAGGTTTCTTTATAGAGCAAACAATCTATACTCCTTCAAATAACAAGTTTCCTAATTTATTAGGTTGAATAATCATGAATTATTTATTAAACAATTTTCACCAATTTCCATAAGTTAAATACAATATTATATAATGAGGAAAGATCTCACTTTGGTTTTCTGTTCAAAGATTATTAAGTACAGCAATATATTAATATAATAATAAGTATAATAACAATAATAAACACTCAAAGACTTAATTTGCTGATGGTAAAACTGTATATAACTCTTCAGAGATTTAATAAATATTTTTGAAACAAAGTTTAAAAACAGAAGTAAATATTTTAAACATTTGAAAAAGGCTATGTGATGGTAAGTAAATAAACCAGAAATAAATTTTCATTGCTTATACAGCAGCAAAAAACAGAAACATAACCAGTCAGCAGAATAAGAGTTCTACCTAGCCTCCTCTTACCTGTCACTTGTGGTACATAGGGTACGGATAGTCTTTCCACACTATATCCACTTCCACCCAGTGACTCTGCAATCTTGTTTGTTAGAAAGTACAAATTTTTGTCATGCTTCTCTAAAGATTTTGGAAGCCTGTCAGATTTATCAAAACAACAACTGTTTAGTATTATTCAAATTGCCAGGCAAAAGTAAGTAAATTTGCAAAATGGTTTAGGACAAAAGCCTCAATATTATAAATAGACACAACTTAAACTGTAATTAACAAAATAATCAGTATATTTTAGATGATGGATTAGAGCTCTTTAAAAATACATGCTATGTGGGCCCACGGACTGACCATTCTGTTACAATTCTTCTCCCAGCAAAGTTCCAACAGTATATTCAGTCTTAAAGTATTCTGTTGATATGTGAACATATGTGTTGAAGTACACTAAATTCTGCTTTTTATGTTCATAATAATTAAAAGTCTACCGACAGAAGAAAATAAAAGTGCTGTTCACTGCTTATTAATGAAAACTGCATCAGCCAGAGCTAGGTGAAAGGAAGCACCTGCCCACCCACTAAGGTTCCACATTCCTTCTACCTCAAGCTGATGCTGTCAATATTAAACTGCTTTTAAAACAGTATGAATAAAAGACACAAGTTTTATTATTCATATATATTTTTTCTTTGGAGAGTAAGAAGGCAGCATAGGATAATATCAACTTTCCTTAATATAGTCTTTGTCCAACCTTTTTGAGTATGGTTATCTATCATTAAAATT